CGATAAAGAGAACATTAACAATTTTTTTCCTACCTGTACTGATAGCCTTGAGAGGCTATTTTAGCTTTACCCTAGCGTGTAGGTGAGCTCTCGGGGTTCAAACCGGAGTGCTGCTAACACTGGCCCTAGCAAGAGCCGTGCTTCGCAGAATCTACCACCGAATCGGAAACGCGACCCACTGAGAAGATCCGGCGAGAAACTCAGTGGGCTGTGTCTATGGGTAATTTACTCGTTGAGCCCTACGTCGCATGCGACGAGTTTTGGCGAGACGGTGACCGGTAAAATCTTTAATTTCACAGATTAGTATCGCGAGTATAATTTTTATTCAACTTCATTTATTTTATTCACAATCTACATTGGAAAATCTTAATATTTAATCTATGAAAAAAAGCGTCTTTTTTTTAAATATTCAAATTGATTTTTTCGCTTGTTTCCACTCCAAGGTTTTTTTACGGAATTTAATTAATACTAATGTATTTTTAATCGAAATCATAATGAACATGATAGTGGGGAGTTGAAAACTTGTCAATGGACAAGCTCATTATCTGAAAGCGAAAAGCTTACAATGCTCTTTAATTACTTTTGTTTCGGAGCCAACTAGTCTCTCTGAACTGTAAATTTTTTTTATTGCCCTTGTAGGCAGACGAGCATACGGCCCACCTGATGATGAGTGGTTACCGTCGCCCATGGACTTCAGCAATGCCAGGGGCAAAGCCAAGCCGCTGCCTACCGCTTAATACTCTCCACAAGCCTCGTTTGAAGAAGGCAGAGTGGCAGAAGCAGTAGCTCCTTGAATGTATTTCAAAGTTCACCTCTGAAGTGTATTTGCGAAGTTTCGAAGGCGAAATGATGTGCTTTTCTGATGCCGTAATAGGTTGAATGTACTCATTGTCCCCCTTAATGTTAGCCCATCACCTTGAGACAGAAGATTCAGAAGATTCAAAGATGGTAGGCAGCGGCTTGGCTCTGCCCCTGGCATTGCTGACGTCCATGAGCGACGGTGACCACTTACCATCAGGTGGGCCGTATGCTCGTCGTCTGCCTACAAAGGCAATAAAAAAATAAAAAAAAATAAACCACCCGTAATATTTTCTTTATGATAGAAGGATTACTGGGGGCCCAGTGGCTTTTCACCTGGACAGGTGAGCGAGCATTGGCTCACCCAGGAGGGGTGGCGCCCGTAACGTACCGTTTGGTCTGTTCAGATATTACTAAACAGGAATTAAATTGCCATTTAAAAAAAGTAAAATAGAAAAGATAACAAAAACGCCATTTTTTTTTTATAAATGGTTTAACGAGTTCAGCGTACATGGTGTTAAGTGGTAACCGGAGTCCGGGGACATCAACAACGTAAATACCGCCACCCACCTTGAGACATGAGTTTGATAGTAAGTCTAAGTCTCAGTTTAATAGTACAACGGCTGTCCACCCTTCAAATCGAATGCTTCGCAGCAGAAATAGGGTAATTAGTTTAGTATTACTATTAGGTACCTGTGTGAGAGAGAGAAGATGCATGTGAATAGGAGATGTATGGAAATGGTAGTGCAAGGTAGAGGGGGAAGAGGTCGACCGAAGAAGACATGGATGGAGTGTGTGAATGACGATATGAGAGAGAGGAGTGAGTGTTGAGATGACGGCTGATAGAAGAGAATGGAAGAGAAAAATTAGCTGTGCCGACCCCACCTAGTGGGATAAGTTGGAGAAAAAGAAGATTAGGTACCTGTGAGGGCTCACAAGACGACTAGTAAATTTACGTAATTACTGAAGCTCAGACGGGTACGACCAACCTTCCTATCTATTTTTATTGCAAAACATGCGTGGAGCCCGGTCTGTCGTTCGCACCGCATCTGAAACCTCAACTTAGAGTTTGAAAATTCGTAAAGAAGCAGCTACCCTACTCTTGATGACCCGCTTGACTTGATGACAGGTTTGAAGTAGACCCGTTAAAGAATACAAATGAGAATTCATTTATTTACTGGTGGGTAGGACCTCTTGTGAGTCCGCGCGGGTAGGTACCACTACCCCGCCTATTTCTGCCGTGAAGCAGTAATGCGTTTCGGTTTGAAGGGTGGGGCAGCCGGTGTAACTATACTGAGACCTTAGAACTTATATCTCAAGGCGGGTTGCGCATTTACGTTGTAGATATCTATGGGCTCCAGTAACCACTTAACACCAGGTGGGCTGTGAAATCGTCTACCCATCTAAGCAATAAAAAAATAAAAAATAAAAAGTAAAAATTTTTGTTGTTCATTGTTAAATACTTCGTACATAGGCATTCCTGAAACATGGGCCCTTGACCCGCCTAACTTTAGTGAGCATCTGCCTCGTGACCCGCACGTCCAAGTAAGTACCTTGATGAAGCTGGAATTGACTTCGATACCACAATAAACTACAGGAATTTTTCTACTAGCGGTGATATTGCGACCTCCGTCGGTCCGAATATGCTTTGTACCGTAATTGTTTTGGATAGGGTAGGTGTTCTAATAAAAGAAAGAAAGGCTTAAATTTCATAACACATATGTATTTATATTAAAAAGAACTTTAACATACAATTAGATATACGAAAAAGTCTGTGAATTGATATCGTTGAGAAACAAACACTCGCCGTACTGTACATTGGAAATATCGATCAATATTTCATTTCAGTAATTGAATTTGAATTTAATATTCATTCATTGCTAATGAAATTGTTTCATATTTTTTTTAAATCGAAAACAAACAGTTATTCTTAAAAAAACAAAGCGTACAAATATGACGACACCAAACATAAGCCAATTAAAGGTATTATTTTGGTATTCCACATTTAAGAATCGTCAAAGAAATCGATCGATATTTCGGAATAGATGATTATAAATATTCATTTAACTTGTGACAAGATTTAGCACTACGACGTATATTTATCAATACCTAGTTGTACCTAGTACACAGTTTCATGTTGCGTAATACTGAAGAATGTGAATAATGTTAGTAATCGCACATACATAGGTTATAGATCAATTCTTCTTTGAAAGCAATTCCTATTAAATGTTGACGTTTGTGAATGCAGTCTGTTGCAATTTTCTAAATGATAATTGAGTCGTCTATTATCAAAGCCGGCAATCTGACTTTTGAACAATATTGGTAAATCAGAAAAACGAATTATTGACTTTGTATTCCATTGGCAGTCACAAAACTCTTCGGAACGACATCTTAGATAAATAACAGGTTAACTATTAACCTTTATTTAATGCAGGTTTTGAACCGTATTCTTTGAAGGAGACGATTATATTCAAATCAATCTGTATTGACATATCAATAACATTTTTTTGTCCAAATGCACAGATTGCCACCTTTGATAATTTAAAATAGACGACTCAATTACCCACCGAACGTATATAGTTGTCTTAACGTTGACATATTTAGTATTGTATCTAAAAGTTTAATAAAATTTAATAAATTATCAACGAAAGTCAAAAAAAAACAAATATAAGTAGGTAGGTAGGCACGTAGGTGTACTTTGCATTTATTATAAACATACAATAAGAATAATTATTCATAATGTCATCTAATCGTGTTAAAAAATTAAAAATCTACAAAGTCTACCCATTTTGTTTTTTTTTTAAAGCATAAGTGAAAACAGATCACGTCAATGGCCTATTATTTAATTTATATTACATAAATGTATACGATATTTCGATATGTTAAGTACCTAAGTACCTACAGGAAATTTGTTATCAGCCAAGCCAGTTCACTTCATTTTTATCTCAACTTCCGTAATCCAAAACCTAAATGTATTTTATTTAGTCATTAAACCGGCTGATGTTGCAAAAAAAACAATTAAAAAAGGCATTAATTTTGTATTTTACACTACCTACCTTATAATTGATACAAGTAATAAATTTTAATAGCCGGTAACGAAATATATTCATATAAGTTCAACATTTCATCTTCAAATTACTATTATAAGGTTTTAAGCGCTCCTGTCTTCTGTAATTTAAAGATTATGCAATATAAATGACACGTGGCACTGAAATGGCCTTGAAATTTATGTTCTGTATATATTTTATGTATATAGATACAACATGGCTAATTCAATATACATACGTCGATACCTAAACGATATTACGTAACCATGCCGTAAACGTATCGATTCCCGATCACTTCTCGTAGGTAATTCACATATTTGTAAAGTTTCTAACAATAAAACGTAATTACGCAAAAACGAACGTTTTGAAGTTTCGTAATAAACTTAATGATAAAAATTAACCTAACAATACTAAATGTGTGTTTCGTGTGAAATAAGTGATAAGTTGCGATCGAATATCTGTTTTAGAGGACAGAAAAGTTGTTAGCAACAAAGAGTGGGATGCAAAGTAAAAATATCGTGGTGGAGAGGCCCCGAGACCGCGGGCGGATGTTATATAGCTACGTAGGTTAAACCTTCCGCCGTCGCCAGCGCCTCTGGTGGCGGCCAAACGAAATAAACTTCATGCCGCGTACACCCCTCCGAACAAGTTTCGTTCACGACGGGAAATATTGAGTGATATTTTTAAGTAATTTTAAATTTGTTAAAATTTTTCGTCTGTATAAAATTTAAGATGTTACATCAAATAAACACTATTCATTCAAGACGTTTTAGGTTATTATCATAATTCACTGTATTCATAGGTAGTGCATAAAATTTCGAAGTCGAATTATAATTGTAGAATAAGAATAATACATTAAAAAAGCTTTATTACAAATTAATAGTGGCACTGATTTTTTATTGTCGCCGTCATAAGTAGACGAAGCCCGCCTATTGTGAATCGGGTTCGCCTAATGTACAGTTTTGCTGAACTTTATGTTAATCATTAAGTTTCTCCAAAGAAATTAAAATTGTGACATCATATCTTATGATATGGGACTAACCTACGCCAGGTGTTACAAAATAGATTTTTTTTTTTAAATTATAGTTTTGAAGATTAAACATATTTATCGTTTCTTTTAATGACTGATTCAATATCTTTACGAAGATCATTAAAACAAAAATATTTTTACACTAAAAAATTTATTAGGAATTACCAACATTGGCTATTAAGTAAAAACTACATTTAAAAACCCTTGGATAGGGCCCATTCTCGTAAATCATTTACATAATCCCCTTTAGTTTCAATCAACCGCGCAACTTCATGGACTCTAGTTTCTACGTATCTCTTGTTCTTCTGTTTTAAATATTGTTTGATTTCATCGTTCAAAAGCCATATGTCGCCTTCAATTTTTCTTATTATGGATATTTTACGCATTCCCCTGTAAGTAATCTTTAAATAGATAGGTAGCTCAGCATTTTTTGTTCTTGATAAAAAGTATGGATGGTTTAACGCCTCTTCTTTTGGGGGGACCCATCCTGAAGGATAACTATCTTTGGGAATTATCTTAGGTATAGTAGTAAACGGCAGCAAACGTTTGACGTATTCCCATTCTGGCGGATTCTTTTCTATTTCATAATTATATTGCTCTTTGATTTTACGCACAAACGGTGATTTTCCGTAACTAGAGTAATGTTTTGAAGATAGTGCCTGAAACAAAAACATGGGTTTTTAATAGAAATTATTTAAAAAGATTACGGTTTTTTTCTCTATTCCATCCATATAAATGAAATAATAACCATTTTAAACATGTTAAATATATTTGAGCATAAATGCTAATCATTAATCAACGTCACACTGAAATTAATCAATCAAAAAAATGTTAAAGAAACTTGCGCGGTAGGTTGTACACCCATAGTACTGTCACATGTCGTGGTCAAAGCGACATTACGACGCGACGCGAGTGAAAATACAATAAAATAATTACCAATTGTGATTCCGGCAATAATTTTGCACCCAAATCAAGTGAGTTGTTCAAGATTCGTCCATTTTTTCCGACTAAAAGTCGCGCAAACGCGGAGTGTGTTCGTAATACGGTCGCCATTTTGAATAGCGAATAGAGCGAATTGCTACAAGAGCAATAAGAACTATATTATTCGTTTCGAAGGAAACATTATGGCGGACGCCTGCAGACATTCGTGCTTTTCAAAAATCGTTTTCTAAGTTTAATTGCGCGTTTTTATTGAACTTTTTCGCATATTATGGTGCATTGTGTATGTAAATAACTGTTTATTGTGGTTTTTCGAGATTCCATCGGATAAATTGTGAGTATTTTGTGAGGACATAGCAGAGGTGCGCCACGGCTAGGGAAATGATTTGGTGCTTTCGTTCGTTCGACGCACACGCACTGGGTCAGCTGTAGGTGGCGTTAGCTGTCGCTTCGTTTCACCACCAAAACATACAAGTTTTTCATGAGTTTTCCGCTGCGAATTTCTATGCAACTGTACATGTAAACAGATATTCTGTTAGTTAATGCTCTATGTAGTCCTTTTGTCATCCGAAATATAGCAAAATAGTCCTTTATATATAATAGAAATAACATCAAATTAATGCGCGAACTTGTTGATTACTGTGTGTTCGCTTTTGTTTACGAAGATTTGTGGACACGATTTTTAAGTGAATCGGAACAAAAAATGAGATAATTTAGACCTATCTATGTGAGAATTATGTATTTGATTTAATAATATTTTTTTTTAAATGATATATAAAAGAAAAACAAGAATAATTTGCTAAAGTAATTCACATATATTTATTACCACGTTGCTTGTTTTGGGGGGTGTAGTGGTACTTAATTAGTTATATTTGTCTTTTTCAGGTCCAGATGGCATATTATGGAGGCGTGTTATGGCAGAAATTCATCCTAGCACAAACAGTGAGCAGTCAGTAGAGCAAAATTCAAGCAATTTTGTAAGTAAAATTGAAAACGACTGTGATTCCTGCTCTGAAGAGGTAACAGAAGAACACAGTCTAAGTACAGATACAAATAATCTTCAAATTGAAGAGTCCGGTAAAAAAAAACCTAGGGGCATCTCGTCGGTCACTCTCCGATCGACCAATAAAAACAAAGACAATCAACATCTACCTAATGTCGGGAGAACGGGAATATCTCCCAATACACATTCCATCATGAAAACTAAGCAAACTAAAGATGAACAGGACAAGAGTATTGATGAGGAAACAGTGATAGAACCTAAGACGAGGGCCCGCAAAAAGGCATCTGACCCAACTGAGGATGACAAAACCAAGCTTGGCCAAGATGAGCCTAAAACGTCCAAAGAAACCAAGAAACCTGTAAATAAACCAAAAGCAATAATTAAGAAGAGGCCACTCGGCATCAGAAAGACTTTAAGGAGTAAAAAAGTCCTAGGGACTAAAGAAAAAGTCAAGAAAATTATTAAAAGAACAATCACTCGAGGTAGAAAAGCCACAGCGGCTGTTAAACTAGAACCTGAAAATTCTCAAGATAAAGAAGCCGTCCCGCTGATCCCAGCATCAGAAATTAAAAAGGAACCTCTGGACGACATCACTCCTGGTTCTAGATCCTCAAGTCCGAAAACAGCAGGCAGGAGACAGAGACTTAGCTCAGATTTGGCCATGATGAAAACAATGCTGAGTGACACTCCTAACAGCTTAGCCCTCGGGCCTCGCACTAGTCCATACTCAATGCGCTCTGAACGAAGCAATAGCCCTTCAGTCTTTGAAGGCAAGAACCTGCGAAGTGGGAAGCCTAGAAAAGTCAAAAGCAATCTTTTAAATGAGGTTGTCATGAAGGAACAGAAGAAACGACGGAGATTGCTCTCAGATTCCAAAGCCTCCGACTCAGCTGATGTAAGTGATGAATGCATGAAGCTAAAAAGGGGACGGTCCTGCTCCCGAGACGGGAGTGAGATCTCTAAATGCTCAGACAATACTGAATCAGACATGAGCCTCAGTGAGCCACTGAATGATACAGACGGTGGCAAGGAGCTCAGCAAAAAACTAGATAAATCTAAGACTGACCTAGATATAGATATTGAAAGTAATGTACAGATCTCGACTATTGAAAAAGTGCCTTCCGTTAATGTTGAAAAAATTAATGATGTTAAACTTGATGCAGAAACTAGTTGCATCTCTAATCAAAAGAAAAAAAAGAAGTTGTGCTTAAAAAGGAGTACATCTCTAGATTCTGACAACAACAATAGTAATAGGTTAAATTTAGATGGTTTAAATGCATCAGAAATAGAAGATAAACTTCTGATGAAGACTGAAAACATTACGCTTTTGGAGGCCCGTAGTAGTATATTGAATAGTATGTCCAAGACTTTAAACTCAAAGGAAATCACAAAGAACATTAAGAGGGCAAGGAGAGGGAGAAAAGCAGCCGCCGCTTCAAGGCCAGACCCCAACAAGAACTGCATCACGAGCACAGTGACCAACAACACTGAAGATAAGCAAGAGACCCTTGAGTCTCTCTCCAAAGAGATAGATGACCTCATCAATAATCTGGATGAGAACATAGGCCAGGATCACGAAGCCGCTCCTGCCGTTGAGACACCAGCAGACGGGATGCAGGTTAAGCCCGCATCGTCCTTCTACGGTCTCAATAAGACGGCTAGTGCTGAAGAAAATACCAATAAAGCTCCTGAAACTCCGGTCAAGAACGATCTTCTGACTTCACTGACTAATGAGAACACGCCGTCGAAGATCGACGACAGCGAAACCATCAGACTGCATTATGAAGAGGATCCAGTTGAAAAACCAGAGAACAGCAGACACGAAATTACATACAAAACATTTGCCAGCATAGACAAACTAATGGACAGACTGAAGGAATTTGAAGAGTTCGATAAGAGAAGGCAGAGGCTCGAGTCAGAATCGAAATCTAGCGATTCCAAGCCCGTGATGGTGACTAGCGATGTAGTCCTGATACCTAAATCCGGGGTCGACATGAAGCCCCTAAAAGACATTCAGTCAGTGAGATCCCCTGAAAAAACATTTGAAAAAGAAAACGTATTGAGCTGCTTCGAAAATAATTCGGCCATTTCAATAGTAAAACGAGATCAAGTTCGGAAATCTATTGACGTCGACCTTCCGAACTCGGTCACCCTCATCAAGAGGAACAGCGTGAGCGCGCGGAAGGAATCGACCAGCTCTAACCATTCTAAAGAATCGGATGCTATCAGTATATTTGAGAAGTCATTAGGCAAAGATGTAACTTTGACTGAACTTAGAAAATCTGTCGAGAAGCCAGCGCCCGCACAAGTGGACCTGCATCAGTTCGCGACCCTGCACGCCAACACGGCGGGTCTGGTCGGCGGAGTTGTGCTCGATTCCACTCAGATCTCCATAACTCCTCGCGTGCTCGACATTAAACACAGCAGCGACCTACAGAAACAACAGAAGCGTAAACCTACCGAAAGCTTGCCTTTGAAGTCCGCGGAGCCTAATGACGATGATAAGATGGCTACGATTGAGAGAATCAAGGCAACGCCTGTTGTTAATGTTACGCCTGCAGTGTCCATCTCGTCCACTCCGGTCGCCATTAAATCCCCTGAGAGCACCCCCATGGAGACGGAAGCCTGTCCTCCTCCATTGGCGAACATCAAGACTACACCAGATGATACAACTTTGACTTCTGAAGTCTCAAAGCTCGATAGCGTCGTCGACGTCGCGAAAGTCGATATACCGATAGTCGAAACTGTAACCGAAGCAGCAGTTCCCGTAACGAGTGACGACAAAAGTGACGCTGACGTGAAACCAGAAGTTTCCACCGAGGTCAAAGCTGACGTAGTCACTGACACTGACATCAAAACGCCAGCAGTTGGTAAAACGACGCGAGTGTCTACAGAGTCCGAAGCTGGTCCTAGTAACATTAGTCAAGAGGCTGAAACTAAAAAACGCAAAGAATACGCGTTGAGGAAGGGCTCGAAGGAAAACGAGCAGTTGGAGGCGGCTGATGCTGAACTGGAGACCGAGGAGATCAAAGCAGACGCAACGAAACCTAAAGAGTACGCGTTGAGAAACTGCACCAACGACGCGAAAGCTGATCCCATCGATGAACCAAAGCCCGCGCTCAACACACCCGCCAAGCTCGACTGTCAACCTGGGCCGAGCAACGTCTTCAACGAGACCCCGGAGACGAAGAGACACAAAGAATACGTTCTAAGGACGCTCGGCCTCCTCACCCACAAAGCGGCCAAGGAAGCCAAGATCGAGAAGCTGAGGGAGAAGGAACGCATCTACGGAACCAGCTTCGGCGGCCTCGTGCATAAAAGCAAGTCCGCCAAATCCGGAGACTACACCGGAACCCTGAAGACTGTGATAAAACTGAACCGAGGGTCCGGCGAGCGGGAGAAGAAGAAGCAGAGGAGCTCGCTGAAGATGACCTTCCAGAAGAGCAAGTACAGGACCGGGAAACCAGCGCCGGAGGTCGGGGACGCGGCCGCCGAAGACGACGCGTATTACACCATCGAGAGACGCGAGGTAACCACAAAACTAATCTCAATCTCATTATTTAATTTATGTAACGATGGAGTCATTAACACTTAGGTAATAGTTTCAAGGTCATTTTTTTCTTCCGCGAGAACTAGTATCAGTTAAAATACTCGTAAGATGTAGATATTAACGATAAGTATTCTCACTCATCGCAAACTTACTGGTGGTAGGACCTCTTGTGAGTCCGCACGGGTAGGTACCACCACCTGCCTATTTCTGCCGTGAAGCAGTAATGCGTTTCGGTTTGAAGGGTGGGGCAGCCGTTGTAACTATACTGAGCACCTTAGAACTTATATCTCAAGATGGGTGGCGCATTTACGTTGTAGATGTCTATGGGCTCCAGTAACAACTTAACACCAGGTAGGCTGTGAGCTCGTCCACCCATCTAAGCAATAAAAAAAAAGAATAGATAACAATTAGTAAAAGTTTTCAAGATAAATCAGAGAAACATTATTTTGATGTGTGAGTAGTTGTTAATTATAGATGTTTTATCATATACCAGTTGACTCGGCAGACTTCGTAGTGCCTCAATCGATAAATAAAAGATCTAAACTTTTGTATAAAATAAACTTAAAACAAACAAAAGGAATTCGTCCGACGGGGGGGGACACATCAAAGGGAAAACAAAGTTTTTATTTAATTCCGAGCATTTTCATATTTATCTAGGTACCTTTTAAACCTTCTCTGGACTTCCACAAATAATTCCAGACCAAAATTAGCCAAATCGATCTAGCCGTTCTCGAGTTTTAGCGAGACTAACGAACAGCAATTCATTTTTATATATATAGATAATTCCAGAATTTCAGTACACGTTAGTTAATATTAGATTTAATTTTGTTCTCAGGGCATCCCGGGCGCAGTCATTGATGGTGGGCACAGAAAGTCACATTACAGTAATCGTCTTAACAACCATGGTGTGTGGTACTCAAAACTCACCCAAAACACCGCCCTTCAAATTTATTAAGTGCAAACAATTCAATGATTGCAAATCATTTATCTAATGTTTAGGCAGTTCTTTCATATAAGTTCGATGTTCAATAGCTAGCTATGTTTCCAAAGTAGGACTTAATCGGTTATTTACAGTAACAATTCACTACGACGACATTATAATTGGAAGCCTTTTTCATCTTCCAAAACATAAAAGGAGAGACTAACAGCAATTCATTTATATATATATATATATAGATTTAATTAATTAGAAAACCGAAAATTTCGGAAAAATTCTCCCATTGACTGCTTTGCACTTAATAATTGAAAATCATCGCCAGATAAGACTTTATGTACGCCAATAGATATATTATTACTATAGGCTATATAAACTTTGATCGTGGCCATTATGAAAAAGCTACATGAAATAATTTATGGGTATCGTTCGATTATGTCGAATGGCTTATAGATACATCGGAATTGCTAACTAAACCTTAACTGAAGGATACACGGTAGCTTTTTCAATACCTTACTAACACAACTGGTGGAAATATGCATGAAAATTTCGACTTAACAAACAACAAATCATCTCTCAAATAAATTATTAATAAACTTTAAAAACAAAAATGTATAAAGCTGAATTAATACGATAGCGTACTAAATCAAAACGAATTTGTGTTATGAAAGTATTATTGTTGATCTAAATTAGTTTATATTATGTTTTTGGAGTCCATTGAAAACGCAAGGTCATTTTTGTATCTTGCTTGGAGACGAGAGGACTTAAATTCAGAGTCGGAGTCTTAAATCATTTACTAATATCATGCCTTTCAAACTTTTCTGTGGTAAAATTAGAATGTTATACAGACCCACGCTGTTTTTTTTTTCATATCTTAATAATTACACCTGTGTTTTACTGTTTTTCATATATCAAAGAAATGCGTCTACACATCCTTACTGACAGTCCGGTAATTTGACGACAAGTCTATTTATCGAAACTATTGTTCTCTAAACACGTTCTTAAAATCGTCCAAAATAGTTGCACGAGCCTAATAAGCAATCTGGCACCGATAACAAAACAATCCAAAAGCAATTTTTCACTTTAGGTGGGACGTTACCAATATTATAACACTTTGCATTCTCGAATCCACTAACGGTGCTTTTAGGTACCTCAAGCACCGGTCATCGTTCTCGTCGAACCCGTCGCTTGCGACGAAGAGCTCGACGAGTAAATTAACCCTCAGACACAGCCCACTGAGTTTCTCGCCGGATCTTCTCAGTGGGTCGCGTTTCCGATCCGGTGGCAGATTCTGCGAAGCACGGCTCTTGCTAGGGTTCGTGTTAGCAACGTCGTCAAACGGCATTGAGTGTCAATGCTTCTGAAATTAGCTTCATGAAAGAAGTTGGAATCGGTTCCACGACGTCAGGTACCGCGCGAAATTCAGGGGATTCAGAAATTTGTACGTGTCAATTTTATAACGAAATAGATGCAGAAGCGATACCCGAGCCTGCAGAGCCAAAGGAAACTCTGAATCTGGTGATACCGGAGAAGGCGTCCTCGTTTAGCATCCACCCTGGTCGTCTGTGCCAGGACCAGTGCTTCTACTGCGGCGGCAAGTTTGGACTGTTCGATACGCCCTGTCATATCGCGCAAATCAAGAGCTCCGATCGACAGAAGAAAATATTGGACAGTAAGGAACTTTTTTAATACGCTTTCATTAGCTTCAGACGTATGTATATGCATTCCCGATCCTGCGGACAGAATGGAAAGCAGTCGACGTCGCCCAAAACACGTCATCTCGGATCCTCCCGATCCACTAACGGTGCTTTTAGGTACTTCAAGCACCGGTCACCGTTCTCGTCGAACCCGTCGCTTGCGACGAAGGGCTCGACGAGTAAATTAACTCTCAGACACAGCCCATTAATAGTGTAAAAAAACTAACAAAATACGCTTTTATAGCGTAGAATTAAAAATAGTGTAAGAAAAAATGATTTTATTGTAAAAAAGCGTAGGTTGCTTTAGGTTTAGTGCTAGTAGGTTTTTAATTCAAATATATTAAAATTTATTTTCTATTTTTTAGTTGGAATTTCTATAAAAGTGTATTTTGTTAGTTTTTTTAAACTATTATTCATTTAAATATATTACAAAAAAAAAAATTATCTCCGTGCTCTAAGATTGTAAAGCCGAAACAATATAATACATTACGCGTTTAATGTTTTTTTTTTTTTTTGAAACCGCAATGGAAAGCTAAATCCTCTGCCGATTTTCAATTCCAATGCGTGTGATGTAAGAACATTAAAAAAAAATACATCGCCATTTCTGTGCTGTCGTCCGTAGCGATCAGTAATGTCACGATACATCTTACTACTCTTACGATCTTATTCCGTAAACTCTTATCGGATTTCATAAGCTCGTCATAAAAAGACTGTCAAAAATGTTTCCAAACGTTTAGTTTTAGTTAGTTTAGTTCGATAGAACGTCGAATGAAAAACCATGAGTATTAAAAAATTAAGTACATATACACAATACTTAAAATAATATTATGTATAAAATACATTCGATAAATACCAGAAATAAAATTAAATTCGTTAGCTGTTTATCGCCTACCAAACTTTTTACATTACGTCTCGTTCCAGAGAACAAGAATACCAGAACATTTTTCTGGGGAATAATGAATGTATTAAAGTGCGTTGGGATATTTTGGATTTGAAACTGAAATAATTTCAAAATTAAAACGAAAAGCACCTTAATAAGCGGAGGCTTATTGTACGGTTAATAACTATGTTAATGACCAAAGTACGTAGACATAAATATATTATCCACGCGGCCAATGTACGCACAAATCTTGTATCGGAGCTTTGTAATTCAGAATAGTTTCTTCCAATTCAAGTCATTTTTATTGTATACTAGCTGACCCGGCAGACTTCGTAGTGCCTCAATCGATAAATAAAAGACCTAAAGTTTTGTATAAAATAAACTTAAAGCAAACAAAAGGAATCCATCCGACGGGGGACACATCAAAGGAAAAACAAAATTGTTATTTTTATTTAATTCCGATTCATATTTATCTACCCTTTAAACCTTCTCTGGACTTCCACAAATAATTCAAGACCAAAATTAGCCAAATCGGTTCAGCCGTTCTCGAGTTTTAGCGAGACTAACGAACAGCAATTCATTTTTATATATACAGATACGATATAATAATTTATTTTTTAAATTTTGTTTGTCAAGTAGTATATATAAAATATATTTGGCAAAGAGAAAAGTGAGATTATTGCTGTTGCTTTTCAGCACTTAATTTGAGTTCCGAATCGTTGATAAAGTCACAAGGATTTAAAAGCATCTGTGAAAGCGTATTATGTACTTCAATAATAAAAACTACGATTTTGAATTATTATGAACAAAACAATTGGATAGTCTTCTTATAACGAGCTTTTGAAGCTCCTATAAGCTTATAAGTGATTTTGAATTATTAGGAATAAAACAATTGGGTAGTCTTCTTATATAAAAAGCTTCTGAAGCTCCCATAAACACATTATGAAACCACAAAGTTTCTTTCTGAGATAATCTAATATTAAAAAAAAAAAAGACATGCCCGCTGATTTTCTTGCCAATTCTTCTCAGGACGGAGGCTAATTCTTGTGAATTGGCGGTAGTTCTTTTGATGTTCAACAAATATGTACTTTCATTTATGTTGAATAAAAATTTTTTGATTTGATTTGATTTGAATATGCCTCGACATGATTAAAAGCTCAAAGTAAAAGAATATGATCATAGTTTTAAATGTTTTAAAATAGCAAAATATTTAAAGACGAATTATGTTGTATTCATGTAGTGTGAAATCATAGCTTTGGGATCGGATACACATGAGATGCCCAATTGTGATTTACTCATCCAGTATGTGTGCTTTCACAGATAATTTAGTCTTAATTCTTTGATAATTTATTAGCAACTAGCGACCCGCCCTCGCTTCGCTTCGGAAACTGTAATTTATTATTGATTTCTCCACTATTTAATGGATGTTATTATACACATAAAGCTTCCTCTTCAATCACTCTATTTATTAAAAAAAAGGGTGCGTGTACTTATGTACGCGCGTAAGAAGTTATACTTTATTTTTATATATATTTTTTTTTAATTTAAATTTTAATCAATTTGAGAAAAAATCGATTAAACAACATCCTCAAACACGCATATTGGACATCCCTTTTCTTGACATCGTATAAATTCGGTAATTCTCGGTACGGTTCAGAAAGTTCACCTGCGGCTATATTCAGACTCGCCAAGTTACGTCGGTCGTATTGTAATGAGCGATTTAGTGGGCAACTTCATTCTGTTAATTTTGTGTCACGGTGCGCGCGCATCGTAAAATTTCACTCTCATCAATTTTTTATAACGCGCTTAAAGAAGTATAACTTCAAAAACCGCATCAAAATCCGTTGCGTACTTTTAAAGATTTAAACATACATAGGGATATAGGGACAGGGAAAGCGACTTCGATTTATACTATGTAGTGATTAATAATCTCATCAGATGAAGAGAAGCTGACGATAGACAGCTGTCTATGCGACGCTTGCTACAGGCACGTCGACCGGCGAGCCAACTGCCCCTCGTATCGTAAGCGACCCCCCGGGAAGCAGCTCGATACGAACCCCTTACCATCGCCCAATAACACGTAAGTATCTTATGCAGCTGTTTTTTTTATTGCCTGTGTAGGCTGACGAGCATACGGCATACGGCCCATCTGATGACGGTGAGTGGTTACTGTTGCCCATGGACTTCAGCAATGCCAGGGGCAAGGCCAAGCCGCTGCCTACCGAAAGTACCTGTTTCTTTAAGTATCACCAAAAGCTCTAGATTAACGTACCGCTGACTTGATGGTAAGTGGTCATCGACCGATATCAGCATTGTCCTGGACACAGCCAAGTCGCGGTCTACCACTTAACTTTACCTTTGTCGACCTCAACTCGTGTCGCAATGTAGTGGTATGTGACATCGTAAGATATCTTAGTTACATCTATGGGTGAGAATTTAAAATTTCTTCAGAAGTAAAAGAGAAACTTGTAGGCGTTTAATTTGTACGCTACACAGAGATCACGTTTTCTTAAATAGTGACGTCATTGTTCACATTTATATACAATATAATAGCAGCACTCATGTTGGAGAGAAAGAAAAACAAATCCCAATAATTTTCGTTGTTATTTTAGAATGATTAAACAATTTCGCCCTTATTTCTGAACACATAAGAACGCACTGTTGTTGATTGTAACGCTCCTACTTGACTGTCCAGACTTAACGGTGCATGTACAATTTCCAGACAATCTGAGAAGCCGGTGAGCCCCCCTTTAGACGAGGAGTCGGATGAGGAGAGCTCAGGGCTCGGAGCCGGGCGGGAGGCGCTGTGCCACACGGAGGGGTGCGCGGCGCCCGCGGACCACTCCATACGGAGGAAGTGGCTCATCAAAATGAGGAGCAGTGTCAACAAAGTGGTCAGTAAATTTTTTTTTATTGCTTAGATAAGTGGACGAGCTCATAGCCCACCTGGTGTTAAGTGGTTACTGGAGCCCATAGACATCTACGACGTAAATGCGGCACCCACCTTGAGATATGAGTTCTAAGGTCTCAAGTATATAGTTACAAATGAAATGAAATGAAGATGATTAATTTGACTCACAAGAGGTCCTACCACTAGTAATTACGCAAATTAAAGTTTTTCCGGTTTGATTTATATTACTCTTTAGATTGTGAACATTACAGTGTGAAAATTCCAAAACTTTATTGAATTATCAACAAATTTCTGTTGTTGAACCGAGACAATTACTAAGGATACAGTAACACTAGAAGGTAGGGTAACCGATGGCCGCACACCTTTGTCTGGGTACACGAGGGCTGGTTATGGACTTTTTGGCGGGAACGCGAGGAGTGAAGTTGTGTGATTTGTTTTATTTTGTCTATTTAGTATTTCTTCAGGCTTAATGTGTAATAACGGTGGTTTATTAACTGTGCGAAAGTGCACAAATGTGGGAAAATAAAACAAAGCCGCTACACGTAACTTCTCGGGATCCTCCAAAAAGTCCACTGAAAAAGTCTCAGTAAATGACCACCATTTTACTGAGATTATATTTCATGCCATGTAATATCATCTCATCTCATTTTATTTTATTTCATCCCAGTTGATTAATGTCTCAAATTAATCATCTTCATTTCATTTCATTTGTAACTATACCTGAGACCTTAGAACTTATATCTCAAGATGGGTGGCGCATTTACGTTGTACATGTCTATGGGGCTTCAGTAACCACTTAACACCAGGTGGGCTGTGAGCTCGCCCACCCATCTAAGCAATAAAAAAAATACATTTCACTCCATATTAACATTTTTCATGAAAATAAGAATATAAATTAAAATGAGACTTGACTTATAGATAGGTCTTGGTTACCAGGTCCTAAAATCCCTATAAAAAATAAAGTGTCGGTTGTGGTTGCAGCTGAAGCTGAAGTGCGACTACCCGGGGCTGCACACCATCCCGCTGTGCGGCGAGCACCACCGCGCGCTGGCGCCGCTCATGGCGTGCGCGCTGTGCCGCCGCAGGATCACCAAGCACCACAACGTGCACTTCATACACCACGTTAGTACCACCACCACCGACCCACCTACTCACCGGATCTCCTCAGTAGTCAAATTCAAATTCAAAATCAACTTAGATGTCAGATAACAAACTTGCTGAATGTCAAAATATAAACAACAATGTTAACTCTACCACCGGTTCCAAAAAAAAGCCACAGTCCTGAGAAGAACCGGCGAAACAAACTCAGCGGGCTATTTTGTTTTTTTGTTTTTTCTTAAAAAAAAATTTTAAATATGTAAAAATGTTTACAATAACTAGTCTGTTGAGAGGCGCGCTCTTACCGAGATGAGTAGTACAGTACTACTGTAGTATCTAGGACCCCTGAACACCCTCAACTTCGAAGCCCTTGTCAACTATACTAATATTTGTATCTTCATTTCTTTATACCAAATGTCTTATGAATTTGTATGTCGTGAATACTATGAAGTTTGATCCGTTAGCGCACTAATAACGATTTCCAATCTAGCACAGCTAACACACAACGTACTTTGAGTAGTAGTAACAGTTTGAGATGATCCCAACATCTCATTTTTCATCCATACTACCTGGAACCACTGCGTTCATCGACAGTGCATTTCCAGAGATCATTTTTGCCACGTACCATCTGGCTCTGGAATGAGCTCCCCTCCACAGTATTTCCTAAGCGCTATGACATATCCTTCTTCAAACGAGGCGACTTGTGGAGAGTACTTAACGGTAGACAGCAGCTTGGTATTGCCCCTGGCATTGCTGAACTCCATGGGCGACGGTTACCACTCACCATCAGGTGGATCGTATGCTCGTCTGCCTACAAGGGCAAAAAAAATATATCCAGTACTTTTATTTCCCAACGCGATAGTCATAATGAATTGTGATGACTAGTTTCTAAGTGAATCTGTTGTTCGCTCAGGGCTTCCAGGAGTTGAATCCGATCCTGCGCGAGTCCGGGATCCCCGTGCAGTTCCTGGAGCGGCCACTGCTGTGCAAGGCGTGCCGCTACTACTGCTCGCTGCTGCAGCGCCCCGCGCACGACCAGCACTACGTCAACACCTACAGGCGGAAGTACGTACATCCCACCACCTTGACCTCAACGGGGCCCCTACACGACCCACTGAACTAATTGTGTTGATTTCTATATTCCATCTTCTTACAAAGAGACCGAAATATCTGGTAAAGTCCAGGAAAAACGATTGCAAAGATGCTGAGAATCTAAGAGAATATTTCTAAGAGATCTAAAAGTCCGAAACATACATTAAAATTAAAAGAAGGTAAAGTTAGGCAANCCACCACCTGGACCTCAACGGGGCCCCTACACGACCCACTGAACTAATTGTGTTGATTTCTATATTCCATCTTCTTACAAAGAGACCGAAATATCTGGTAAAGTCCAGGAAAAACGATTGCAAAGATGCTGAGAATCTAAGAGAATATTTCTAAGAGATCTAAAAGTCCGAAACATACATTAAAATTAAAAGAAGGTAAAGTTAGGCAATCCAGGCGCTCAGTTGTTACTGTTGACATCGACATGATTACTTCAATTCTTCACGTAGGGCAACGATGAGCTATAGGTCAATCACCGTTTAATATTTAATAATACTGCAGTCACAAACACGAGTTTAAATAAAAAAAAGAAGTAGATATAGTTTCTCAAATTGTATTGATAACGAATTGTATTGATAAACTAAGCTTTAAACCCTTGAGTAACCCTTAGTGAGCTCGACCTAATGCGGACGCCACCGCTAATGTTGGGTTGAAAGCTCGGTTACATTAGCTTGACGACAATTTATTGCTTTAGATAGGTCGTGTGATAACTTCAACGGAAGCAGCACCACTAGCGACCCACCCGTGCGGTCTCTCCACGCCTAGAACAAAGTTCACAGGGGGGCGTTGACCCCCCGCGCGCCTTTTTCATTTTGTCTTACAATGCGTACTATGTTTTGGAATGTTTTATGATAAACGGCGTTTTTTTTTGGTAGTCAATGTCTACATTTTAGAAATTTAGAACTCAATAGTAGTTTTGAAGTTTTAGGGTTCACGCAGAACTATGCCTTTGTAAATATTCTGTCGATAAAATATTCAACCCAGTCATTCAATCATTCAAGCCAGTCGACAATTAAATATTGTCGACTGGCTTGAATGATTGAAGTGGTCAGTGCTATAAGTTTTTGGAAATACCAGTGTATTCGTTCCAGACTTGAGATTAGGCGCTTGCTATTTGGTTTTGTTAATTGTTGTAATTATCAGGATTACATTACATATTTAACGAGGAAAAAAAATCAAAATTAGTAAATAAATATAAAAACTCTCCTTCCAGATTACTTCTAAGTTATAACATAGAGCCACCTCCGGGGTCTGACCACGAGGGCGACGACTCCACTTCCCAGGACGACAATGCCAAGAAGAAGAAGCAGCGCGTCAAATCAAAGCAGAGGAAGTCCACTGATCCCGAACAGACCAGCGAGTCTTCTGAGCGAACTAATGACAGCACTCCGGAGAAAGACAAGATCTCACAGGAACTCGACTCCAAGGACGTAAGGGACGAGGAAGACATCGAAAGTCTAATATCATCTAACAAGATCCCCGTGCCAGGAGCCAAGCCAACCGAACCCAGCAGTGACTGTTCAGAAACTGAAAACATGGATTTCGAACCCACGTTAATACACATAGACAAACAAACAGAACTACAGTACCTTCTACAAAAGCAAAACAATCCAGGCCCCTACTTGAAGACAGTTAAAATGTTGGAAATGTCCAAGGGCTTAATGAATGTGTTCTCTGGAATACAGAAGCCGGGATTGCAGCACAGGGTTCACAGTAAAAACGCTAAACGCATCCACAANGAAAACATGGATTTCGAACCCACGTTAATACACATAGACAAACAAACAGAACTACAGTACCTTCTACAAAAGCAAAACAATCCAGGCCCCTACTTGAAGACAGTTAAAATGTTGGAAATGTCCAAGGGCTTAATGAATGTGTTCTCTGGAATACAGAAGCCGGGATTGCAGCACAGGGTTCACAGTAAAAACGCTAAACGCATCCACAAGGTGGGGCAGGCCGTTCTGCAGAAGGAAAGGATGCGCAGAGATGAGCTGCAAGAGGAGAAGTCAGTTGAGGGGATCCCCATCCTCAAGAATATTAATTTGAATGACGAGTGTACCATAGAAACGATACCCAACAAGCGGCCCGCCGACATCAACACGCTCAAAAACAAGTGGCAAATGTCGGAGAGCTTCACGCAGGTCAAGAAAAACTTAAGCGAGCTATCCAAGAAGCTGACCGTCGAGAAGGACCCTAAAAAATCTGATGCCAAATATTCGAACCCGGTCAAAAGGTTGGAGACAAATCCTTCTATTTCGGTTCGCGAACTGTTCCCCGGAGAGGAGGAAATGAATTTACAGTGCAATATAGAGTTTAACAATGTCAAGGGGGTCACTCCCGAGGGCTGGGAGAAGTGTAACACCACCATACAGTACGACGTGGAGACCAAGAAGCTGTGGACCGAGCTGCAGAGGCCGTACGGGAATCAATCCAGCTTCCTTCGCCACTTGATTCTGTTAGAGAAATATTTCCGAAGTGGTGACTTAGTTTTGGCTCACAACGCCTCGTCCAATGCGTCCAACTACAGTGACTCCGTGCAGAGCCGCCTACGGGCCTACGACCACGTGGCCAGCGACCCACCTGCGCGCAGCGAGGCTCCGGTCAGTCTGCTAGAGTACCGGAAAATCCCCTCGTTGAAAGGGAAAAGTTTATTGAAATCTAATCAAACTGACGCAGAGAGTGATCCAAAAATAACCATGCCTCCCCCGATGCAACCCAAACAGAAAAGCTCTAAAGAGAAAAGTAAAAGCAAACCTTTGCCTCCGGAGCTGATAGCCATAAACACTCCCAACGCTCAAGGAAGGAAGGCCATACAGAATGTGATACATAACATTCAGCAGCTGGTGAAGGGTGTCAGTGCGTCGGACCCCACGGAGGTGGCCAGTGCACCGCTGCCGGCCAAGTTTGAACCTCCTAAAGAGAAAAAAGACACTCCGAAGATGGAGACACCTAAGAAACCAAAGCCAGCCAGCAAACCGTGGAGACCCACACTCATGCCCATTACTCCGGTAAGTAATCAATGATTTGGCAAATTATATCAAATGTGGCATCTTGCTTAAAAATCACATTCATTAGAACAGCAAAGCGTCTTAGTAAATAGTACAAATCTGACAATTAATATTTGTTGCTATCTTCATCGCTAGTTTTTTTATATATTAGTTCATCCACGTAGTGTAAAGTGGTTACTGGGCCCACTGACATCAACATGGGAAATACCGCCACCCACCTAGAGATATGACTTACAAGTCCCAGTTTAATAGTACACCATCTGTCTCGCTCTTGAAACCGTAATGCATTACTGCTTCACGGTAGGAACTGGCACGGTGGTGGTACCGAGCTCAAAAGATGCATTAGCAAACCATTGGTACTCCAAGCAAATCAGCTTCCCACCACATGATGAGCTGTCCTACGGTCTTAATTACCTTCCACTGTTTGAGTATATCATTTTTTCTGCATTAGAAGTCATAATCTATTAAATACTAGTGGCCCGCTCCGCCTCCGCTCGGGTCAACAAAAATTTCAATGATAATTGACGTTGTTTTATTTTTTAAATAAAAGAACACTCATTGCGGCATAACTATAATAGTTAGATTAGACATATGCTGTTGCGACACTTTTTGTTAATAATAATGTGTTCTACAAAGTCGTTCTACATTATTTTACTCTATCATCAATAGTTTTCGCAGGGCACGCGATGTAAAGAATATTGAAGTATTTTTTTTCAACCTTTGGTTACATTATTGGAATTTTCGTAAGGACCCCTATTTTTTTTCCAAAAAGATAGCCTATGTCATTCATAAATAGTGTAGCTTAGAAACAGTGAAAGAATTTTTCAAATCGGTTCAGTAGCTTCGGAGCCTATTCAATAATAATAATAATAATAACATCGCTTTACAAAAATCTGTAATAATTGACACCTGTTCCATAGTGCGACGATTCCTTACATCCACTACTCAAACCCCTACAACACTACACAATGAACCAACTCACTTGGCGTAAGCCCGTGCTAGGTTCACACTTACCAGCATTAGCTGAGAAAAAAAAAATATCCATAACCCATAATAATAATAATAATAATAAGCCTTTATTGCTGTTTTACTAGCTTAATACATTACTTAATAATAAATTAAATTTAAGTGCAACTTATAATCAATATCAATTATTCCGTTCGGCGTTCGGTGTGGTTTTAAAAAACAGCTTGTCTCTCGACAAAGGCCTTAGAGGAGGCCTTTGTCGAGAGGCCTATTCAATACAAACAAACAAATATTTCCTCTTTAGTAATATTAGTATTAATTTGAATGAACGTATCATAGAGTGTCAATATTCATTCGCAGGAGAACTTGGCGCGGATAGCCCGTGAACCGACGCAAGTGGCGGTCGACGGGCGCCACCTGTCCAGCCTCGTGCAAGTCATGTCTTCCGGGAAGCGGTACCACATCACGCTGCAGGACTACAACAAAATGTGCATCATGAGACGAGAGAAACTCCAGCAGCTACAGGACGGAGAGAGGAAGAGATCGTCGATCGAGGAGACGACCCTCGTCACCGAGATCCAGCCCTCGCAGATGCTCGGCAACGGAGGCACGCTCCTGCAGAACATATCCGGGGAAGACAAGGACAAAAAGGACGAGACTCCGCAGATCGGGAACGCCGCTAGTATCTTGAAGAATGTTGGTCTGAAGAATATAACGATAGCGCCCATCAACAGCAAGTGCGGCGCGGGCCCGGCGCTGCCGCGGCTGCCGCCCTCGCTCACCGTCACGCCCGCCACCGACCACGCGCTCCGCCTCTAGCGACCGCTCCGCGTGTCTGAGTTTCGTTAAGGACGTTTTGTGCAAACGGTACGTTGTGTAGTGCGGCGGACGATACTACCAGCAAATATATATATTTAATAAATTAAATTAATGGTTTGATTGTCGTCAGGAACAGCGGAGGTAGAGCCCCGGGGCACGCAAACACCGCGCCCGGGACTCTGCCCCCGCTAATTTACTCGCCGTAATGCGAGAGCTTAGAATACCGATTTTTGTCGACGACACTGTATTCGTTCGATAAAACTCAATAAAACAGTCCTTTAAAACAATATTAAATTAAAAGAGAAAACGCGATTCAAAAATGCATTTATAAGTTATATTTACGAAACATCGTAGCGTTTGCAAAAAACTAAATCGGTGTATATAGACGATATTTAACTGCGTTATTTTAATATGAAAAAGTTAAGTGACCGTTTCGTTATTATTTTTTCACTGTCATTATATTTATGATACATCATGGAATCATTTTAAAAATTAAAGATAAAAAAAAATACATAAAAAAAACGAAGCTTGTGATAGAAAATTATTTAAAAATATAATAAAACATCACGTTTTTAATATTCGAAATATATTTATTTTAATTAAAACACCTTTTTTAATTAACAAAAGAACACGCTTAGCTTAGTACCGAAGCGCGCGAAGTTAATTGTGATACGTTCATGGAGAGCTTTATTCTGAATTGCAATCCGATGACGTCATTTAAGTTGCGTAAACATTCATTGGGAATGACTTGAAGTTCGCAAATGTTACTAAAACGTCACCGGTCGGGTGGTACTAGTATTTCTCAGTGTTGCAAACTTTAAATAGTACTAAAATCTATGACAAAATCCAGAAATCTTGCTTCAGTAATTTTAATAATTTTCAAAAAGAAACGTGGATTAGCACACGTATTAGCTACCAAAAAAGAATGTTGGCACTTTGTATATTTATACAAATGTGTCGATAAAATCAACGCTATATACATTAAAGTAAGGTTGATATTTCTTCACTGTAATCCAATGAATTTACGAAAGCAGTGGCTGGCTGGTTTTACAAAAAGGCTGAAGCCGCGTAGTCCATTAATTGAAAAAAAATATGTTCAGTAGTTAAAATAACACATTTCTAATTCAAATCACAACATTGATCTACGACAATAACTTTCATAACAGCGCGTCAAAATCGAAAATATTGTTTTTTCACATTTAATTTTGGCTTGCTACTCATTATATTACGCCATCCGCATTTAGTAAATAAAAGCTTTGGGAGTGTTTGTATAAATTTAGTGAAAATTTTAATTCATATTTCGCCCACTGAGATCTAAATATCCATAAAATCTGCTGCAGTAATCAATAAGAATAAAATCGTTTCACTTATCAAACCTAGTAGTGAAGTTATAATAGCTAATGATGAAGAAAGGCAAAAATTGTGAATCTAAAAATGGATTTTTTTCAGTTCTATTTGTTGTAGTGCAGTACAGTTGGTGATATTTGCGAACTTCTAGAAATTTCTGCGATTGAAGGGGGGAACAAACAATTTTAATAAATTAAAAACAAGTTATTCGAAGAGTCATGTACTCTGATAATGATACCCCAATTATGGAAACAAAAATTATTTATATATTTCTTTAATAAAAAGACAAGTCTTTCAATGCTTTAAAACGGACACTAAAAGTCATCAGTGCAAAAGTTTAATCTAGAAAAAGGGACCTTTCAATCATGGTAATAAAGTTTCTTTTTAAATGACGAGTCCTACGTGTGATGTGATAATGTAGATCGACTGGCGATTCTTATAATATATTTCACCGTCTCTTAAGTAGGAGAGAAATTAGTCATTTGGGTGATTTTAAAACGACTAAAATCTAATACTATTTTTTTTTTTTGTTTTTCGACTATAATATTGATACTTTGAGAAGAGTATTCGTGATCTATGTGCCTCCTAACCGATGAATTTTGTTGAAAAAACATTTTCTAAGCACACTTTCCGTTTTAGAATAACATCGAATTATGAATGGATCGAGACGTTTAATTAATGTAAAAAAAAAAAAATAATGTAAATAAAAACAATGTTAGTAAAAATTAAAAAATTAAACACAAAAAACATAATATAGTTTCTTAAATAAATGAATAAAAGAAATGAAATCTCACACAGACGAGATATAATCGCCCCCCAGATTCATTTCGTGTAAATAAATTTAATTATTATTATTATTATTAATATTGTAAACGGATTATATATATTTGTATCTAGTTTCTAAGGTATAAAAATGAAAGCAATGATATTTTATATAAACGTGTTTTGTACCTACATGGCAATGCTAGGATATCTTTAGGTTGAATTACAAAAAGACCTCTTCGAAGGCACTTAAAGTTCTTGGGAACTATTGTTTTCAAGTCGTACAGAGCGAAGGAACTTAAGGATCTTTGCAAAGATACGATGAGATGTCAGACTCTGTCATTCAGTTCTATCAACTTATAATACTTACTATAGGTATTTTGTCGTGTAAAGGTACAAAAAGTTAACATAAGATTACTCTTCCTTAACTAGTGTATAATTGTGAAGAATAGAATTTACATTTGGGCAAAAAAAAAAACATGTTGATACATTTATCTTGTGTATAAAACTAAATATATTGTTGAGAAATTAGTATTTTATTTTGGTCCAATGATATAGACATGTTCAGATGTTATTTAGGTAATATTGTGTACAGATAAACTTTTATGAATATTCCGTTAAGGCGACGTGCCTCGTGGGAAAATCGAACTGCATTTGGCTTATTGCGAGCATAAAGTTTCTTCTTCCATTATATAACTATGGTTTTAAAGTATTTTAACGTATTTATTCTTTAGTATTCTTGCAGTAACATTAAAAGCAATAGTTTAAAATGTTTACGTAACTCGATTACTTATACTTTTTCAATTGACGCGCTTAAATTTAAAAAAACTAACAATTGGGATTAACGAATCAAAAAGGCTAGTGATTCTGACTAAAATATATTTTTATATTCTAATAAACTTTTGTTCGAAGAGATCATATCTATTAATTAATTCTATTACAGCGGATCTGTAGCTGGGACTCTTGCGATACGATAATTTCTAAATAATTAAAATAAGTTGGATATTTTTCGTTAACACCATTCGGGTGAAATTATTTAGTAATTTTCATATTTGTAAATTGTCAAATATTAAAATGTCAATTTGTAATGAGATAATATTTATTTGTAATTTATTGCAAACAAAGTTCACGGCGAATTCGGTGTTGGCTGGTTCCCGGAGCCCATAGGCATCAAAACATGCATGACACCACCCACCTTGAGGCTTGAGGTCTGAGTCTCAATTAGGTAAGTAGTAAATACCAGTGCGGGCTCACAGAACGCCCGACACCCAAATACGTCAACGCTCTTAAACAAACTTTTACTTTTAAATAAAGTAGAATAAATCAAACAGCTGATACTCTGGTCACAAGAGGACAATGACCCCGAGTTGCTTCCTACTGTTTAATACAGAAAAACATGTTCGCTTTGTATTTTGTGGCCCTACCCTGCGAATATCGGAAATTACGAAGAGGAACGTCGCCTTAACGGATACGAAATGTTAAATATATAGTGTTAGTTACAATTTGGTATATTCACACGTATTATTGTATTATGATTTGAGGGCGTGAAAGGCTTTGTTTTGTCTCAAAGTAGGTGTAGGATTGAAACGGCATAGCCCATGTTTGAAACAAGATACATTGTATTTTGTTACGTGTTCGTTGCGTGTTATCAGCGCCACGTGTTCCTACCGCGGGGTAGGGGTCGGTTACGTTTCGCTATACATTGCGCTTTTTGTGTGGTAGTACCGACAAAACTCATGAACTATAATTTGGACAATATAAAAATGTCAGATTACTACCACGACCGAGATTATCCACCTTGTACTTCATTTAACCAACCCAAAAGGTTTTAGGCTGATATTCACACGTCATTGCTTTAATTAGATGGGAAGACTTTCACGGTCATTTGGTATTAACAAAGAATTTGCTTTTTAACGATAAACTACATTTTTCGTGAAATGGTTTATTACTGGTGGTGGGACCACTTGTGAGTCCGCGCGGGTGGGTACCACTACCCTGCCTATTTCTGCCGTGAAGCAGTAATGCGTTTCGATTTGAAGGGTGGGTGAAGCCGTTGTAACTTACTTGAGACCTTAGAACTTGTATCTCAAGGTGGGTGGCGCATTTACGTTGTGGATGTCTATAGGCTCCAGTAACCACTTAACACTAGGTGGGCTGTGAGCTCGTCCATCTAAGCAATAAAAAAAAATGTCTTAAAAACTTGCCTATAAGCCTTTCGCACCCTCGAAACAAACATAAGTATAATTTTTTTTTTGTATATTAACGTGATCCGGTGAAATGCTCATGTGTTTTTATTTTTATTTTATTTGAACAAATTCCTGTGGCCCTGCATCTCGGACGGTATTTTCCTCCAAAGATAGCGTGTTAATCATTTTACTATATAATTTTTATTTTTTAAATAGTCTTGATACGGTAAAATAGTCCTTATCGTTTTCCGGCGGTCGCTTGCCGTTCTGTGGTTTATGAAATGCAGGACGGTCGTTTTTCGTTCGAATTCGTTCTCCGTTAAGGCTTATTGTATCGTATTTATACGTTTAGTTTTTATTAAGGGCACGTTTCGTGTCTAAGGTATGAATTTTCTAATAAACATATCCTTATCACAAGAGCTTTGTTTTACTTAATGATACTTGTATTTTCAAGAAATATTTTTATCAGATCTATAAATATGCACTGGAAAAACTATGGAGGTTAGAAGAAGCATCATTTCTGCGCATTAAAACTGGTCCACTGAAAGAGAGCCAATTTAGTCGTCGTGGCCTAAAGGATAAGACGTCTGGTGCATTCGTATGTAGCGATGCAACAGTGTTCGAATCCCGCAGGCGGGTACCAATTTTTCCAATGAAATACGTACTTAACAAATGTTTACAATTGTCTTCCACGGTGAAAGATTAACATCGTGGAATAAAAATCAAACACGCAATATTATAATTTGCGTAATTACTGGTGGTAGGACGTCCTGTGAGTCCGCACGGATAAGTACCACCACCCTGCCTATTTCTGCCGTGAAGCAGTAATGCGTTTCGGTTGGAAGGGCGGGGCAGCCTTTGTACTGTTAAAAATGAAACCTTACAACTCATGTCTGAAGGTGGGTGGCGGCATTTATATTGTAGATATCTATGGGGTCCGGTAACCACTTAACTCCAGATGGGCCGTGAGATCGTCCGTCCATTAAGCAATAAAAAAAAATTAAGCGCCATAATAGCAAGTGGAAGGATTTGAATATTATCGTTTCCACTTTCTACACTAGCGCTATTTTAGTGAGTCTTACAACAATAACTTGTTGTTTACATGTGGACAGTTTCAATTTGTCCATTATAAACAAGATGGTGCTCCTTACCTCTACCTTCCATAGCTAACAATAATATAATGAAAAAAAAAAAAACACGTTCCCATGTTAATTACATTTATTATCGTTAGGGTTTGATTAAAAACATTAGCGCACAGTCTCGTGTGATAACTTCAATCCTTTTTCTTGTTATGTTTAGCCCCCTTAGTCCTCTTCCATTTCATTCTCCTATTTTGAAACCAGACTTTGACCTGTAAACCAATTGCTGTAATGATGCCGACTGTAGATATCTACTGACTGAGCGCGGATCAATGTGAATCATTCAAAGTACATACATTAAAGTCAACTAGTGGTCCCGCAGTAGTCGAAATTCGACTATAATTAATTGGAATTGTAAGTTTGTACACTATTATGATTGTATTTTATACTTCTATAATCACAAATTTCGCCAAGGCTACACTATAAAAAAATATTAATAAAGACAAACAATATTTAATTTTAATCTATTCTCAATTTTACCACAGACGTCAAGAACAAAAGTTTGACAATAAATAGTATGCATGCGTGTGTGCGTCAAATACATGGTATGTAGTGTGTGTAATGTTTTCTTTATGGATTTAATGTATCTTTTATGCATAATTTAAAAAAAATATTATCATTATGCACTTCTCTATATTCTCTATAAGTGTGGAAAATTTCATTATCCTCCGTCCGCACAATTTTCGTAAAAAGGGATACAAAGTTTTTGCTTCACGTATTAATATATAGATAATAAAAGTAAGCATACATATTCGAGACAAGAACACGAAACGTAAATTTTAACAAAGACTTCGACCGAGTACCAATATTTGTCGCTAAGTAAGGTACCTACAGTAATAGTCACTGATTTTTACGCTACCGATTAATGTAATAGTTAAAAATTAACGGAATGTTTATGGTATTCAATTTTCAGTCGCAAAATACCTTAATTATTTGATTCAACTATATACCTGTTTTTAAGCTACTGCATAGCTTCTATCGCGGGCCTTGAGCGCGGTGACTGAATCAAGAAATTCCGTAACGAAAATAACACATTCACACGTTGCGCTGATGTAGTGTTTGTGAATAAGCGCGTGGCGTGATGTCGCACTGCATGAGCATCATGAAAAGTGCCCATCTCTCTCTCACGCGGTCTAGCTTATGAGTGTGTAGGGGACAGTTAATGTTTTACTTTTGTTAATGTTTATAAATATAGCGTGGTCTTATTTTTATTATTGTTTTAATATTAAATTATTATTATTGTCTAATTGTAATTGCATAAGTTGATAAAAAATGCTTTGCAATAGCTTTACCGCGGCAGTCCCCGATGCCACACGTCTTTTTTTTAAGTTTATTATTTAAAGAGTTTCTTATGAAAGGCGATTGCATGCAGCAGAGATGCGAATGTTGCGATGGATGTGTGGAGTAACGAGAATGGATAGAATACGAAATGAATACCTATGTTAGAGGAAGTCTGAAAGTAGCACCTGTGACAGAGAAGCTGAGAAGTGCACGTTTGTGATGATATGGGCATGTGATGAGACGAGATAAAAATGAGATTGGTAAGAAAATGTTAACTATGAATGTGGAAGGATATAGAGGAAGAGGTAGACCTAAGAAGAAATGGATGGATTGCGTGAAAGACGATATGGGTAAGAGGGGAATGAGCGAAGAAATGGTATATGATAGAAGAGTATGGAAGGAGAAAACATGTTGCGCCGACCCCGGGTAACTGGGAGAAGGGCAGGATAATGATGATGAATGATACTTAGAGTTTCCTAATCTGATTAATACGTTATGAAGTACATTATAAACGCAATATGAATTTAACCTGTCTCTCAGTCAAATGCAGAGCCACTGCAATCTCGTATCTCCGAAGTCTCGTCAAGTAATTGGCTCGTGCGAATTCTGCCTCCAAGCTCTTGATTTGCGCTTTGGTGAAGGCCGTGCGCTCCTTGCGGTTTCCTGCGGGCGACTGTAGTCCTGTAATTAGAATTAATATATATATACAATCGCGCCACGTTAACTGGTCCCGTGCTAAGTTCGTAAAAAACTTGTGTTACAGGTACCAGATAACGGAAATAAACATGTAAGATTTTTATTATACACATACATATACATAATATACATCCATAGCCCTGGAAAAGACATTTTATATTTATCATACAAATATCTTCCCTTGACGGGATTCGAGCCCGCGACCCCCTAGTGTAGTGACCATGTCACTTACCACTACACCAGACGGCCGTTAAACGATTAGAATACATCATTATTATTGAAGTCAGAATCGGGACGCGATTCAACAAACTAAAATGCATACGCAGACAGACACGAACACGATTCATTGGTAAATACTATTTTAGAAAAATGAATTATCTTATTCTTAACTAAAACCTTTTTTTACTATAATAATACTATTTCAGACGTTTCGAATTTTTTTAATTACAGTTTTAAGTCGTCCTTGTAATCACGAAAACTACAATATTGAAAACATGGGAAATATGATTTTTTTCCCTACTTATTCGCCGGTAGCCTAAGAGGCTATTTCGGCTACGCCCTGACGGGTAGCTCACGGACTCAACCTGAGAGAATTTACTAACACTAGCCCTAGCAAGAGCAGTGCTGCGCAGAATCTACCACCGAATCGGAATCGCGACCCACTGAGAAGATCCGGCGAGAAACTATATAAATATACAATTCATCTATGGTAAAAACCTAACAACTTTTTACTTGTTTATATTAAATAGGCTTCCGAATTTAGCACTGGTGGTAGGACGTCTTGTGAGTCCGCACGGGTAGGTACCACCACCCCGCCCATTTCTGCCGTGAAGCAGTAATGCTTTTCGGTTTGAAGGGTCGGGTAGCCGTTGTAACTATACTGAGGCCTTAGAACTTATGTCTTAAGGTGGTGGCGGCATTTACGTTATACATGTCTATGGGCTCCGAGGACCACTTAACATCAGGTGGGCTGTGAGCTCGTCCAACCACATAAGCAACAAAAAAAAAGTTGGAAATTATTTTGACCTAAAAATAATTATTTCGGTATACCAGTATGTTTCCTAAATGAATTTTGCAAACTATCTATATAGCAATTTGCAGTTTATGTACAGATGCGTGTGTACTGTGTCTACGTGTGCATAAACACTACACGCCATTAAAACCACCTGACTTTTCATCGTAAACGCGCGAAACCTATTGTCTGGTTTACGTCGTACGTATTACTCAAGTTATTATGCTTGTGTCGTTTGGCGCCGGCGCTGACATCTGCACGCCATTACAGTTTTATCGCTTCCCGTGTAGTAAACAAAGGAAGCAGGTATACACTAAGCTAAGACGTACATAGATAATACAGTTAAAATAGAAATTCTAATAATTAAATCTAATGTTACCATCGTCCGTGACCACGAAATCTCTAAGGTATTTGAGACGTCGAAGACAATTGTATAATGGCAATAACAAAACGCTACATTAAATCGTAAAATTCATTTTATTTAACTGGACCCCTCACAAAAATCGAAGGAAATATAATTTATTAGTGTATAATCTATGCCACCAACAGAAGCCCGCTGAGTTTGTTTCGCCGGTTCTTCTCAGGACTGTGGCTTTTTTTGGAACCGGTGATAGAGTTAACATTGTTATTTATATTTTGACATTTGTGTCATACTGACAAGTTGAAATAAATGATTTTGAATTTGAATTTGAATTTGAGATAAGTGAAAAAAAGTTCAAGCTGTCAGTAAATCATTAATTCCAATATTTTCATTCGTAACACGTCACTTTTTAACAAGCTTCAAGAGCCTTTTCTTCTCAATCTCTCTCTTTCTGAATTCGGACTCTATTATCTATAGGTAATTCTATACTAATATTATAAAGAGGAAAGATTCGTTTGTTTGTTTGTATTGAATAGGCTCCGAAACTACTGAACCGATTTGAAAAATTCTTTCACTGTTTGGAAGCTACACTATTCCCGAGTGACATAGGAAATAATGTTTTTTTTTTTAAAATTGGGGATCCTTACTAAAACTCCAATAATGTAACCAAAGCTGCGAAGGTGTAAAAAAATTACCCAAAATATTCTGTTTTTTAAAGGATTTTATGAATTAAGAAGACCTTTAAGTCATTTCTTATTTTAATTTATATTCTTATTTTTATGAAAAATGATATAATGGAGTGAAATGAAATGAAATGAGATGAGGGGTATGGGATGAAATATAACCTCAGTAAAATGGTGGTCATTTGCTGAAATTTTTTTAGTGGCCTTTTTGGAGGATCCCGAGAAATTACGTCCAGCGACTTTATTTCATTTTCCCACATTTGTACACTTTCACAGATATTAAATAGTTAATAAACCGCCGTTATTACACATTTAAACCTGAAGAAATACTAAGTAGACAAAATAAAACAAATCACACAATTTCACTCCTCGCGTTCCCGCCAAAAAGTCCTTCCAAAATATTCTTTACATCGCGTGCCCTGCGAAAACAATTGATGATAGAATAAAATAATGTACTACGACTTTTTAGAACACATTATTATTTACAAGAAGTGTCGCGACAGCATATCTCTAACTATTATAGTTATGCCGCAATAAGTATTCTTTTATTTAAAAAAATAAAATAACATCAATTATCGTTGAAATTTTTGTTAAAGACAAGAGCGGAGCCGGAGCGGGCCGCTTGTATTTTATATAGACGACTATAACTATGACTACCTGGTTTTTCAGCAGTAGGTCACAAAAAAGGTTCTATTCTTCTTTACACCAACCTTCGCTAGATGGCAGTTGAAGAAAAATATTTAACTACTTTCGTTGAAGGCAGCCAGTTTTTCTCGAGTTAAAACAAAAAAAAAATCTTCCGTAAGCCTGCTCCTAACGTTAGAGCTGAAGGCGTCTAAGCAAGAGTTATTGTATCTGATGGATTCGTAAAGACGTGTTTAGGGCGTTCTAAGTCTATATCTGTTGAGCGCCTTCAAACCGGAAAACTCTTCGCGCCATCAAAAGACGCCCTCGCTCTACCACAATCAGAAAGATATTTACAGGGTGTTTTATAAATAGAATAGCATACCACCGGCTAGATGTATCCATGCCATCGTATATAGACAAGGGCATTAAGTTAAAATCTTACAAGTCATACCCACTCGGGCCGTCCGTCACAGAGCTCAATTAGAACTAAAATATATAGAGAAATATTCAATGAAGTATAGTATTATAACAAGCTTTAGGTAGTTGTTAGCAAATCTCAACCCTCCTGGCTGAGCCTTTGCTCGCCCACCTGTCCTGGTGAAATTGGAAAGGCCTCCGAGCCATCAGTAATCTTTTAATCATAAAAAAAGCACGCTTTATTAAGTTGGTATGTAAATGACCAAGCCGTTGGTCGGATCAGATAAATGCGCTCACTGGACTCTTTGTTGCGAACGCCCTGAGAGAAGCTGAAAACCGAAGCAAATGGAAGCTGATGATACAAAGAGCCACGAAGGGCTTTTAGGGACACGACCTTCAGCAATGAAGTATTCGACTAAGAAGATGTAAATGTATGCGCAACGGAATCTTTGAACGCCATTTCAAAGGACTTCAAGACGTTCGATTAACTTAAAAATTTGCAAACGAATCAAGGGTCGATGTCACGACAATAACTTTATAATTTCGCTCTAATATCCTGACCTGAGTATCAACAGGATAAAAAAAATAAGGCTTGGTTCAGTTTACCATTTAGGCGAATTTTTTGTTTTTGTTTTAAAACTACATAATATTAAATTTATTGATAATAAAGAATTTCGCTCATAACGGGTTCATCGCCAGCTTACCTTTTTTTATTATTTTCAATTTGAATTCAAGCTTCAGGCAAGCCACCACCATATCTTGAGACATGAGAACGAAACTCCTATTGCATCGTTTCTACGACGAACCTACCATACCGACAAAAATGACTACATCAAGCTGAAAAAATCCTGAATCGATTAACCGATCGATTAATAATCGATTAACAATTTCTGCCGTGAAGCAGTAATGCGTTTCGGTTTGAAGGGTGGTGCAGCCTTGTAACTATACTGAGACCTTAGAACTTATATTTCAAGGTGGGTGGCGCATTTACGTTGTAGATGTCTATGGGCTCCAGTAACCACTTAGCACCAGGTGGGCTGTGAGCTCGTTGACCCATCTAAGCAATAAAAAAAAGGTGAGGACAAAACTCCTATTGCATTGTTTCTACGACGAACCTAGCATACCAACAAAAATGACTATATCAAGCTGAAAAAATCCTGAATCGATTAACGCAAAACCAACTACATACCTTCATCACTAATACTGGAACCAGCAGCACTAGTGTCCCCTTCGATTTCCTCCTTCACCAGCACAGAATCATCCCAAGAACTCCACCAGTCCTCTTCATCTCTTTCCGGATGGTATTCGTAACACATCTGCATATAATTCTGGGGAAGCATTTCCCTTGGGCAGTCCACGCTAGCGTAAGATTCGTAATAGTTCGGTTGATAGCTTTGTATGTTCGTCTCGTAAACATATTTATCAGTGTCTTCGTAAGCTTGAAAATCTGTTCTAATGTATTCCATTTTGCATCTACCTTTCCGAGCGCTGTTTTTTAAGGTTCAAAAAGGATCTAGAATAACTTTCTGTAACTTTAAAAGCTTGTGTACGAAAGGTCAATGTATGCGAATATAATGACTCAACGCAAAACACCTTTAAAGGACCACTGTTGATACATTTTAAACAAAATACGAACGAAAGAAAGTTTTCGCATTTGAATCTTCAAACGAGTTAGTTAATTAATTCAAATTATTTTCGAATAATGAATATTGTCGAGTTGACAAACGTCTGAACAGTTTGGGCTGTTCTTAAGCTCTTGGAACCTGGACTGATTTTAAGTGTCAATCAGGACAAGCGGCGTAAGCGGCGATGTAGGCGGGGACAGCGGTGGGCGGAGTTTGTCTTGAAGACTTCGTACTGTAGCTTCAATGAATTATTGTAATTTTTAAATACATTTCTATCAACGTAATGCCTTAATTTTAGGCTTCCGTATAGAGCGGTAATAATGAATTTATCGAAAACGTTGAAAATTTGAAGATAAAGTTTTTTAATAAACATAAATCTCCGTGAATAAAGCACAAAAGGGGCTGATCCACTGAAAATAACTGTACTACTACTTCAAAACTGAAACTAATTCAATTTTTTTTCTATTACCTTGTGAACTTTTTTTTAATTGAATAGATGGTGGGACGAGCTCACAGCCCACCTGGTGCTAAGTGGTTACCGGAGCCCATAGACATCTAAAACGTAAATGCCGCCACCCACCTTGAGATATGATTTCTAAGGTCTCAGTATAGTTACAACGGCTGCCCCACCCTTCAAATAGAAACGCATTACTGCTTCACGGCAGAAATAGGCAGGGTGGTGGTACCTACCCGTGCGGAATCACGAGAGGCCCTTTTCACCAGTAATTATGCAAATTATAATTTTGCGGGTTTGATTTTTGTTACACGATGTTATTCCTTCACCGTGGAAGTCAATCGTGAACATTTGTTAAGTACGTATTTCATTAGAAAAATTGGTACCCGCCAGCGGGATTCGAACACGAATGCAGCGGACGTTTTATCCTTTAGGCCACGACAACTTCGACTATAAACTTGTGAATTTAATTTTATTGACCTTAAGTAGTAACTTTTTTCAATTCATATTAGAACGAACGAAGACAGTAAAGATCAGCTATTATGGAATTCGATTGATACTTCGACTTTAAGACTGAATGTGTGGATGCAGTCACTCAATCATGTCTATGGACTCCGATGACCAATTTATACCATGAGCATCTACACAAATAATAAATAATAGTTCTAAAAAAAACAACAAAATACGCTTTTATAGAAAATCCAACTAAAAAATAGAAAGGAATTTTAATAATATTGTATTAAAAATAGTGTAAGAAAAATTATTTTATTGTAATAAAGCGTGGGGTGCATGGTATCAGTAGTTATAAATATGTTATGAACAGATATAAGTAGAAGGGTTATTTTGATAATATCCTGAAAAGCTCCCCACGCTTTTTTACAATAAAATCATTTTTGTTATACTATTTTTAATTCAGATTTATTAAAGTTTATTTTCTATTTTTTAGTTGGATTTTCTATAAAAGCGTATTTTGTTAGTTTTATTAAATGATTATTAATTTTTAATTTAGTTGAGTTTAATTTTTTTTAATTTTTTCTAAATTTTTTTTTAAATATTGTGTTGTCATCGGTTCTTAATAAACGCCAAATTTCGAGTTAATCCGACGTTTTGAAGGGGTTCAAAATCATGTTCAAAGATTCCGTTACAAACATACATAGGTACATACGTCTGAAGCTAATAAAAGCGTATTAAAAAGCAAATGTGACAAGTGTCCCGAGAACTAAGCTCAAGGTAGTTCAAAATTGTCATCCTAAAACATCAGTAAAACATTATCGTTACAACCTACATCCGCTTGCTGCAAATATATGACATTAGAGGTAATATTTTATATCTATCAATCCCTTAAACGATATATTTATATTCGTGTTGGCGAAATTCCCTCGGGAGGGTCGTTGGGACGCCCTTTGCCCTTCATTTCTCACGGTATACGACATATAGAACATTTATTTTAACTATTTCAATGATAAATGTACTTCTTCCTGCTAGTTGAAATAAGAATTAAATGTCGCATCAGGAGGTAATCTGAATTCTTTTTTCTATTTATTGCTTAGATGGGTGGACAAGCTCACAGCCCACCTAGTGTTAAGTGGTTACTGGAGCGCATAGACATCTACAACGTAAATGCGCCACCCACCTTGAGATATAAGTTCTAAGGTCTCAAGTATAGTTACAACAGCTTCCCCACGCTTAAAACCGAAACGCATTACTGTTTCACGGCAGAAATAGGCGGGGTGGTAGTACCTACTTGTGCGGGCTCACAATACGTCCTACCACTAGTAAAAATTCAAGATTCAAGTAAAATTCAAGACTAAACAAGTCAAGGTTCTTCTTCAAGAAGCAATTGAAGTGATACCGAAAGATAAATGAATATATCAGTCAACAGATAAACGTTTTAAGAAAGTATTAAATAAAACATCGAGGAAAGCTAGATTTGAAGTCTATGATAACGTAAAAAATAGAATTTTAGTGATTTTTTTCTCTACCTATGCTGATAGCCTTGAGAGGCTATTTCAGCTTCGCCCTAACGTTTGTAGGTGAGCTCACGGGGCTCAAACCGGAGAGTTGCTAACACTGACCCTAGCAAGAGCAGTTCTTCGCAGAATCTACCACCGAATCGGAAACGCGACCCACTGAGAAGATCCGGCGACAAAATCAGTGGGCTGTGTCTATGGGTTAATTCGCTCGTCGAGCCCTTCGTCGCAAGCGAAGGGTTCGACGAGGACGGTGACCTGTGCTTGTGGTGCCTAAAAGCACCGTTAATGGATAAGGAAAATTTAGTGAGCTTATCTCCATAATAAGAATTATTTTTACCATGAGTTTTACCAGCACCTTTGCATACCAAATCAGCCTGTTTTTTTGCACTTGTAGACAGACGAACGTACAGGCCCACCTGATGTTGTGTAATTGCCATCGCTCATGGACGTCAGCAAAGCCAGTGCACAACCAGTGTACTTAGAGCGAGTTTTTTAACGTTCTCGATAGCGTAAAAGTTAATCCAACTTTGTATGCAGTTGGAACAGCGCCCCTAGCAGCAAACGTAGGCAAACGATCCCATTCCATACAAATATGAGTTAACTTTTACGCTATCGAGAACGTTAAAAAATTCGCACTAAGCACACAGGTCGCTGCCTAGAAAGATATGCGTAACATTTGTATGTTATTCAAGGAAGTTTTCAAGAGAGAGAGAGAGAGAGAGAGAGCGTTTGAAATAGCGTCTCAACATGACAAGCAGCATAAACATGGTGTCGTCGCTCGCCTCGTCGGTATAATGGTCACCGATTTTGACCACGAGTCGCAGCTCTATTTTCAATCCGAATCGTTACAAAAAAAAATGATCATCAGGTTATGAGGGTACTTAAATAAAACTACTTTTACTCTTTCAGTGTTTTTATTATCATTAAATTATTTACTCGTGACCACGAAAACTGTAAAAAATTTGTAGCGTCGGAAATAATATAGTGATATTAAAAATACTCGAGATTAATTATAACATTTTATTCCTATTCATAAATTACTTATTAGACACAACTCCAGGTAGTCGAAGAAAATACTGACGTCTGTTGACGTTATGCGACATCCGTTGTTTGTCTACGTGCAGTAAACATTTAAAACCAATGTGTGCTGTGTTCGCTAATAAAAAAAAAGTTTAAAAAACTAACAATATACGCTTTTATAGAAAATCCAACTAAAAAATAGAAAATAAATTTTAATAAATTTTAATTGAAAATAGTGTAAAATATATTTTATTATAAAAAAAAGCGTGGAGTGCTTTTTAGGATATTATCAAAATAACCCTTCTTATCTGTTCATAAAATATTTATAACTACTGATATTTACCATGCACCCCACGCTTTTTTTACAATAAAATCATTTTTTCTTACACTATTTATTAAAATTTATTTTTTATTTTTTTAGTTGGATTTTCTACAAAAGCGTATTTTGTTAGTTTTTTTAAACTATTATTTATTTTCCATTTTTTGTTGAATTTCAATTTTTTTTAAATATTGAATTGTCATCGGTCTTTAATGAGTATACCGAATTTCGAGTTAATCCGACGTTTTGAAGGGGGTCGAAATCATGTTCATAGATTCCGTTACATACTAACATACATACGTCTCAAGCTAATAAAAGCGTATTAACAATAAAACTCAGCTTCCGTCACTTAAACTCTATCTCCTCAAAAATGGCAACTAAAAAAGATCAGGAGCATTCGAAACTATAAATAACTAACTGAAATAATATTTAGTGAAGATCTTTCATAAGGCGTCAAAAATGTGCATTAAAAAAAACGAACATATTTCTTGTGTCGATTCATGGAGTAATTCGATTTATTAAATTACTCTGTCGTAGTTGAAATTAGAACCAGTATGTCTACAGGGAATTGGACGTTCTTGGGACTCATGTACTGTTCACGTTAGGCAAGTGATATTCAGTGGGTTTTTATTGCGTAGATGACCCACCCGATGCTTAGAGGTTATAGGAGTCCCTAGATATCATAACACGAATACTACGTGTCAGATATAAGGAAGTCTCAATAGTATAGTAAGCATATTTTAATTTTTGCTGTTATTCTTGCGTTGTGGAAGTATTTAATGAGGATGTATTAGGTATTTGATAAAAAAAATTGGTACCCGCCTACGTAATTTGAACACTGACACAGTATTTTTAGGTTAACTTTAGGTTACGACAATTAAAAACTCTGCGATAGACTGCAAATCCCAATGTCGCACTGTCATCAAACAGAGTAAAAATAAAAATTTAAATGAATCATTCGATAGTATTCGTCCTTACAGATGTGAGTCTGCGCATGCTATTCTCCTGTAGGTATTTATTTTTGGAAACAATTAAGCTGGTAATAATATTGTAAGCTCACGAATAATTTCCACGA